ATCTGTTAGTAGAAACATTAAGAGGTCCTGTTTCCCTCACTGGTAGCTCCAAAGAGTTCTGGAGATTATGAATTATACCAATACAACTAAATTCCCACCACACATTGCAAAAAAGTTCTGGATCTTCTAAGCCTCTGGAAACTTTTATATATTGTGGGTTATCTTTTCTGGAACTCCAAGGTCCACACAGACTATTTACAAATCTGACTTCAGCCCAAATTTGCCAGCTTCCAAATGAGAAGTTCTGATCAAGTGCCTATTTGAGAGGTGAAAATTTTCCTTGGACAACAGTCCTTCTTGACATTTGAAACACAAAAAGAACAAGTTAAAGAATGAATAAATGGGGGGGGGGACAACCCCAATTGGTTATAATATGCGGATGGAACAGTGGGGACATTTGTGAGAAAAAGGTTAAAATACACATTGTACTATGATTTAAAAGAGAATTTTTACAAAATGATTTATCATTGATACCTAACTCCTGAGAAGATATTTAGAATGTACAAAAATGTTCCAAATGCTTGTTGAAAGTGTCAAGAACATGAAGGAACATTTTAGCATGCCTGGTGGATGTGTAAAAAAGCTAAAAGATATTGGATACAAATACATACATACAGAGGATTTTGAAGGTTAATGTTCAACTGAAAACCAGAACTGTTCCTACTGAGACTTATGGATATACAGTTAGAAAGATTATGGGACTTTTTCAATATATGATTACAGCACAAAGATGAAAAGATTCATCATTACCTACCATGGATGAATGGTTGTTAAAATTATTCGACTTATCTGAGATGGTGAAGTTGACGTGTTTAATCACAGAAAAATCATTGTCAACGTTTACTAAAGATTGGAGGCTGCTTAGAGACCCTTTGTGTGAAAAAGAAAATGAGCATAATATTTGGGTTTGAGGACTGAAGAGAATATTGGGTTATGGAAAGTGGATTTGTGGGTGTTTTCTTGGAGTGGATATGTTGAATAATTTTTTACATATGGCTGACAGGTGAAGAATGGGAAGTTCTCCTTTTTCTTTTGTCTTCATCTGCTCCCCTCTTTCTGCTCTGTGTTATTATTTAGTTTTTTAGCCTTGATAAAAAAGATATATGATAATAATAATAATAATAATAATAATAATAATAATAATAATTATTATTATTATTTATTTGTACCCCGCCCATCTGGTTGGGTTTCCCTAGCCACTCTGGGTGGCTTCCAACAAGGATTAAAAATACATCAAAATAGCACACATTGAAAACTTCCCTGAACAGGGCTGCCTTCAGATGTCTTCCGAATGGTAGTTGTTTATCTCTTTGATATCTGATGGGAGGGTGTTCCACAGGGCGGGCGCCACTACTGAGAAGGGCCTTTGCCTGGTTCCCTGTAACTTTGCTTCTCGCAGTGAGGGACCGCCAGAAGGCCCTTGGCACTGGACCTCAGAGTCTGGGCAGAATGATGGGGAATCTTTGCATTCCCCTCAAACTTCAGTAACATTGACTTTGAACATTTCCCAACTACAGTTCCTGCTGTAATATGTATTCCAGAGGAATTCATAACTATGCAAGGCAGGTTAATGCAACCATTTCTCCACCACTTTTCACCTTTTGCTATCACATTATGTATTTGTCATCTACAGCAATTTCCATTTTTAATGAGTACCACTTCTGGAAAGGGCAGATAGTGAACTGAATTTTAAAATATTGTGACTATGACAAAGAGTGAACCAGGATTAGCCTGGATTTCTTGGTGGTGGTAGTTTTCAATAACCCTCACAACAGATCACTGGATTTAATTTTCTTCTCTCCATATATAAGCAAAACATTTTAAGGGCACACACCATTTCCCAGCAAATTGTTCTGTTCTGCCAAGTCTCTGCAAGACTGAGTATGCATTTAGATGAATAATTTACAAGTCACCTCAATCAATATAAAAAAATTAAGTGCAGAGTACTCAAGTCCCCACAAGCAAAACCACCTCATCAAGGAAAATTATTAGCACACCTCTAGAGTCTACCATATAGATATTGATTATTTAATTATGTAAATAAGGCACAGCACACAAGTGAAGTTTAAAAATTAATCAGAGCTGGAAGGAAATCCAAGCCAATCTATTTTGGCTTCTTGTTCTAGAACATCACACATCAACCAATGTGCATTTCATAGAATGACATAACCCTTCACAGGTAAGTGCAAATATGTTAGCTCACCGAGCTGCACATTTAAATGTGTCATGGTACAACAAAAATCATGTAGCTAGGGCAAGCTAGTTACTCAAAAGGATTTGTGTAGCACCTTGGACAACAGGCTAGTTACGTTACCCTCTGCCATTTAGGATATACAGGTCATACCTTGGTTTTCGAACAGCTTAGTTTTGAAACGTTTTGGCTCCCGAAAGCCGCAAACCCGTAAGTGACTGTTTCGATTGGCAAACTATTTTTGGAAGCCGAACATCCGACGGGGTTTCCAATAGGCGCTCCTGCAGCCAATCAGAAGCTGAGCTTTGGTTTCCGAACATTTTGGAAGTCAAATGGACTTCTGAAATGGATTCCGTTCGACTTCCAAGGTACGACTGTAGATGTCTGACTGTGCTTTCTTGTGATTCAAAATCAGAAAGTACTGATACTCAAAACATCTGTATGAACAACTGTGGGTTGTTTGGCATATTTGCTTAAACATTCCATTTGAAATCGGCTCCATTTTCAAACCCATACTTTCCTCCTTAGATGCCATTTGCCTTTGCTTAGATTGGGCTCCTACCAATAACTCATTTTCAGGTTGTTGGTGTTTTGTTTTTTTTGTTAACTCTGGGCAGGGGGAACTGAGGATGAAAGCCATATTTGGTATTAAAAAAACCAGATTTTGTATCATGCATCTGACACATATTAACTCAATACAATTTTACTTCAGTTTTGGAGCACACTTGTAAACATATTGGGACTTGTGTTTGGTAAATGTGCTGAAATCTCTACCTTAAGGCAAGTTCTCTATGAATCCAGCACAGAGTTAGTTCAGTAATTTTTAATAATCACTTTTGGTCTTATAACTCATTTTGGATACTGACAGGCCCATGGGTCGTTAAAGGAATCTCCATAACACAACAATAATGCAAAATAAACGATGGAATTTCTTTTGAAACATGCAAAATAAATCAATGCAAGTCCTGAAAATAACTATACAGCATTACACTATACAATCTCTATCACATATATACCCCAAAACCTATTATCATCTCAGGTGACAATAGATATATAAATATGCTATCAATGGACACCAGCTTTGATTTGAATCAGTGCAATGTGGATCATTATAACGTGTTTATAATGACAGATAAAATCTTCACAGAATTTCTATAAAACTTCTCAGAAGATAATAAAAACATTGGCACACGTGTAGGCTTTTTCTACTGTGTATCCAGTTTCTGGCATTGGAACGCCCTCCAGCATTGCAAAGTTGGAATCTGTAACCATTTCAAGCTTTCACTACAGTTGTTCATAAGGACTTTGAAAAGCTTCACATAATTCACTCTCCCAACTAGTCCCAAATGCAATTCACAAGTCAAGCTGTCCTAATACGCATAATAAATAATATTTATGAGACGAGATATTTACAAGGTTTGAGCATACTACACCAATATGGGCCCGACTGCACTGGCTGCCAATTAGCTTGTAGGCCCAATTCAAAGTGCTGGTTTTGACCTATAAAGCCTTAAATGGCTCAGGACTGCTATACCTCAAGAACTGCTCTCTCCATATGAGCAAACCCAGACCTTGTGATCACTACCCAAGGCCCTTCTCCATGTGCCTCCTTCACTTGAGGTCCCTGAGGGCAGCAACACAACAACAGGCCTTGTCTGTAGTGGCTTTCCATTTGTGGAATGCTCTACCCAGGGAAGTTGGCCTGGTGCCTTCAATATATATTTTTAGGCACCAAGCAAAAACAGTCCTCTTCAACCAGACCTTGGGCTGATTAATATTCTAGGTAAAGGTAAAGGGGACCCCTGACCATTAGGTCCAGTTGTGACCGACTCTGGGGTTGCAGCGCTCATCTCGCTTTATTGGCTGAGGGAGCCGGCGTACAGCTTACGGGTCATGTGGTCAGCATGACTAAGCCACCTCTGGCGAACCAGAGCAGCGCACAGAAACGCCATTTATCTTCCCGCCGGAGCGGTACCTATTTATCTACGTGCTTTCGAACTGCTAGGTTGGCAGGAGCAGGGACCGAGCAACGGGAGCTCACCCCGTCACAGGGATTCGAACCGCTGACCTTCTGACTGGCAAGTCCTAGGCTGTGTGGTTTAACCCACAGCGCCACCCGCATCCCTTCGATTAATATTCTATTAATATTATAGAATAATAGAATAGCATTAATATAGAATATTAATATTCTACAGCTTTTTAAATGTGTCTGCAGAAAGGGGGAGTTATTGTTTCACTGTTTTAATTATTGACTCGTTTTTATCCTGTATTTTGTTCTGTGAACCACCCTGAGATCTTGTGATGAAGGGCCGTATATAAATCTAATAAATAATAACAAGATACAGTGGTGCCTCGCAAGACGAAATTAATTCGTTCCGTGAGGCTCTTCGTATAGCGGTTTTTTTGTCTTGCGAAGCAAGCCCATTGACAGCTTAATGGATTAGCGCTATTAGCGGTTTAGCGGCTTTTGGCAATCAGCTGTTAAGCGGCTTATCAGCGGATCAGCGGCTTAGCGCTTAGGAAAAGGGGGGGGAGGGGGAAAAACCCGAAGGAACTCGCAAGACTTTTTCGTCTTGCGAAGCAAGCCCATAGGGAAATTCGTTTTGCGAAGCGCCTCCAAAACGGAAAACCCTTTCGTCTAGCGGGTTTTCCGTCTTGCGAGGCGTTCGTCTTGCGGGGCACCACTGTACCACATTGCGTGTCCACATCCTTAACAGTATGCCATTTCCAAGCATGTTGGTACCTTTGTACCTAATATCGTTTTGCAGAGGATGAAAAAGGAGCAAGCAAATTGAAAACAAATGTCTGCTTGAAAAGCAAATATATTTATTATGCACTTTCATATACATAAGGATTTTTGCTTAATATAATACAAGAAATAAAATAAAAATTTTACAATGTGAAATTCAATGTACATTATAGGCTATTTACAATCCAATCCAGAAAAAAGTCTTAACTGTGCACCATGTTATTTGAAGAGTTTCAATGGAGGATAACGAGCATAAACAGACATTTGCATAGCAGCATAGGTGACAAGAGAAAATGATGCTTTAAGTAAAAACAAAGCCATTTCCCAATACTGATCATGACAAGGGTATCACTATAGTGTAAGATGCTAAGGTTTCGACAGGTAAATTTGCCATTCAATTCCCTTTTCAGGTGACTTCCCTGGCACACATATGGTACAGATATTAATGCTCATCAGTCTTTTCCCTAGTCTCCAATTATGAATTGTGACACTTTCTTTAGTTTCCTCTAGGGATGATTTTGGATAATATAGGGAAAAGAAAGGTGAAAGCAGAACCATAGATACAGAGATTTGTGAAACGAGAAAAAAAAGTAAGAAGTCTTGAATTCTGCTGCATTATAGCTGATCAGACCTGCCAAGTCATGGCTTAGCAGAACTGAGCCACACACATCAATTCACAATTGCAAAGAAGACAGACCTGCCAATAATTCAGGGTGATTAATTTTACCTTTTTTTGAGAGAGGGGCCAGAAAAGCCAATATATTTTTAAAAAATCATACATTAAAGCAATGCGGAACAATCTCACACTCTTGTCAAATGGATATTTTTAAACAGAGAAACACATGCTGCATTCCTAAGCATTTCTGAAAATGTGCAGGAACTTTTTTTTTTAATTATCTGAAAGGTAGCACTTTTCAGCTGACCTTCCTATAGCTGGTGTCTGCGTTTGGGCATGTTACCACCACCAGCTCTTTTAGAGACATTAAGATTATAGTCTGCTGAAAATCGTGAAGACTTCTGCAATGCGTAGCCTTCTTGTGAAAATGGCCAGAAACATCACCATCTAGTCACAAGGTACATACTGTAATTTAAAAACACACAAATAAACAAATAAATATAATCTCAGCGACAGCCGAGATCCAGAGAGAAAGGCAGCCTTTAGGGATGTCTTTCTACAGATCAATACATCTAGCATGAAAGAAGAGCTATATTCTTGTGCAGTGTTGAAAATATCCAGTACTTAAGTTCAGAGCAAGTTGGGAGTAATGATTTGACACTCTTGCCAAGCAACATTTTTACCTCCGTACTTAGGTCAAGAATGGGGAACCTTTGGCTCTCCAGATATTAAGACTGCAGCTCCCATCATTCCTGACCAAGATAGGCCTGATGGAGTGAGGGAGATAAAAGATCTGGCCTGCCAGACACTAACGGTTCTCCACTCCTGTTTTACATGTAGAAGGGTCCATATCAAATCCCTTGCACTTTTAGATAACGCAGGGATGGGGAAACTGGGCTTCCCTATGTTCTTGGGACTACCACACCATTGGCCATGCTGACTGGGACTGATGGGAATGGGACGTCTGAAGGACCAGAGGCTCCTCACCCCTGAGTTAAAGGATCTCTGTTACAGGGCTGGGAACATACAGTGCTGGACTTAAGGGACCTAAGACCTGACTCCACTGTTTCATATGCTCATAAGCAAAACCAGATAAGTCATTTTGGGTTGCCCTGGGCAAGAGAAAGCGGCTAACAAATTTAAATAGTTACCACGTGGGTAGTATGAAAACTGGCCTCGATGCTGAAGAACTGTTCCTTCATAAACCACCTTTAAAACAAGTAGCAGAGACAGGACCCAATAAATTGCACTGTCGTACTCCACCCCAGGCTGAAGGTAAGTACTGAAGTTAGCCAATACTGTCACAAGAGTTGCTTTCCTTTTGAGAAACATCTGAACAACACAAAAAACCAACTGTACATTACAGCAATGCAAATGTGATTTTACGTGTACAGAAGAGTAGCTTGTGTTTTGAGCCAGTTTACATCTTCAAAATCTGCCCCACGTTACATGTTTGCTGTGGCTTCTGTTGCTTTACGCTCCCATGAGCAGATAGAGAATGCAATGCATAAACCAGATTCTCCACAGACTCAGATACTGATGCCTGAGACTGCAGTTGTGATTTCTGAGCTACCACAGGTGGTGTCGACTGCTGCTGTGGCTGTGATCTGGGGATGGGCCAATTCACATTATCTATTCTCCATGCAAAGAGTATTCTCTGAGGACAGATGGGGTCTTTTATGTGGATTTTGATCATGGTGGACCCTGCAGCAAAACAACAAAAAGTCTAATGGCACCTAAAGTCCTACATCAAAAGTATGCCACAACACTTCTAGAAGTGGGTTCAAATAATTAACGGGAACTCTAGCTTGGGTCAATGGAGGAGGGGTTCCCTTAGTCTTTGAGGTGACATTGAACATTCCTTGTCTGTTTGACTGTGTGCAGAGTTTCTTTTGCACATGAATGTAAAATAAATACAGAAAGCATTGCTGTTTGTCACAAAGTCCACTGTGGCACATTTACACTGATAAAGCCTTCTGGAACAGAGAACTCAAATTTCTAGCTCTTAACAACTTTTCAGCTGTGTGAGTGGAAATACAACGTATCTTGTTCTGCTACTGAGGAAGAAAAGAAAGTGCTTATTCTGTGTAGTAAGTACAAAGTACACAAAATAATTTTTTTTTTCTGAAGCACAGAAGGTTACATTTAAGAAGGCAGCCTTATTTTTTTTTTCTTTAGGCACATTACAGTAATCAAGGTAACTGTACTGCAGTGATCACATTCGTAATTTTCAATGTGGTTCAACAAGCAAGACATGCTTTGATTCCAGCCCGGGTGACAAAACATTCCAGGCAGAAACTCTTCATTTTATTCATGGTGTCATGGAGCTGCCTTGAAAACAAAAAGAAAAGAAAACATAAAATCGTTACATTCTAAGTAGACCATCTCAAAACTATGAATAAGCTGCTGTATGTGGCAATCTATCTGATGCAGTTGTGATCACTGAAAATCTTGTACCTTAAAATTGCTTATGCATTTTCTTTTGCAGGGACCAAGTTTGAAATGATAACACACACAGGGTCAGATAGCATGTTATTATGCTGCTTCCAGAAACAGCACCATGCCAAGCAGTACAGCTTCATTAACAATGGTAGCTTGGCCATTCAATATGAGATAAAATTCATTTTCTTAAAAATTTATGTGAAGCAGACACATCAAATAACTCATGTTAATAGTAGTAGTAATAATAATAATAATTTAAATGTACACATAGCATCCAGACATTGGTCAGAGGTGGCTGACAGATTGGTGTGCCAGACAGTTATCAGTCAGTGCTTTTGAGCAGAAACTGAGCTACAGGACCCCACACTCTTATTGGTGGGAGTTATGAAGAGGCATTGGAGAGAAGACTATTGTTATCAATGTGGATGCAACATGATGAGACTTACATGGGACGCCTCTGGCCTGTTAACACCATGAGCATGTAAGGTACTGATCTGGCTGCCCCCTGCCTCCAATCCTATTGAACAATGTTGATTGGTAAGGACATGAGGTCTTCTCCCCCTTGGCTTTTGATGCCTATCTGCATTGCCACCCTGCTGAAAGTGCCTCACCTCTTACAATGGTGTTTCCTTCTTATAGTTGAAGCTTGGGTCATTCCCCTCAATTTGAAGTTTTAAGGCTTGCTTAAGGCTCAGCTCCGTCTCTGCAGAAGGATAGCCTTCCAAAACCTCCTGATGCCCTCGGTCCTGTACTGTTCGTGGGACAGAAACTCTGCCAAGAAAAACCTGATTGCTCTGAAGGTGGTAGTTTGGATTAGTCATTATTCCATTTCTCTTTTTCTGCTCCCCACTTTGTTGGTGGATCAGGAACTGCTGTTGAGACCGGCAAACTTCCTGATGGGCTGGAGGGACTAAAATTTTACACTGAGTGTCACTAGGCATTGATTTAAGGGGCACGCCGGCCCCACATTTGGCAACAGGTATCCTTTTATCAAACTGAGTCATTTCATATTCAAGGACTTTTGGTTGAGAGGAGGTGCTCTGTTTCACCTTTTTCCCAGCAGACCCGGATTTGTTGGAATTCTCTGTTTTCCCCGTTTTGCTGGATTTTGTGGATTTCAAGCTGGGCTTCACCTGGCTCCATTCAAATTCGCTGTTTGGCGAACTATGATTCTGACTTAAGGAATGAGTTGTGGAGGAAGGAGAAACAATAGACTGCCTACTTCTACTGCGGGGTAACGAATGCTGCTGTATTTGTTCCGTAAAGGACATACTGTGGAAGCTGTCGATCGGTACTGTCTGGGCAGTTGCTGTAGATGAAGTTGTGCGCAGAGAAGAGTTTTTTGAGCTTTTCAATGAATTATTGGATAAGGAGGACTTCTGCCGATCAACTGTCGAATCGGGAGATTCAGAAGGAGAACTAAAGGCATGAGCTGGCCCATTAGACAAGCCACGCAAAGCAGGCTGTGTATCTCCCCCACCAGTGCTTCCCGAACTATTGGATTTTATGGTTAAGGATTGCATCTTTGAAGATGCCGACTGCAAAGGTTTTTGTTCCATTGTATGGACCGGAGAAGGAGTGCAGCCATTTAGAGTAGAAGCACCATATTTTTCCAGTAATTTAATTATCTGCGTGTGTCCATTTTTTGCAGCCACGCGCATAGCTGTGCGCCCAAATTGATCCGCATGATTTGGATCGGCACCGTGCTCCAGTAATATCTGCACAACATCGATGTGCCCTTCTTGGGCTGCAATGCAGAGTGCAGTAGCACCCTGATTGCACGTATGGTCCACTAGGGCCCCACGCTCTATCAAAAGCTGAACTACTTTGACATGGCCCTGCCACGCGGCAGACTGCAAAGCTGAGCGTTTCTCATTGTCTGCGGCATTCACATCAGCATGGTACGTGATCAGCATCTGTACCATCTCCACATGGCCCTGCCAGCAGGAAACATGGAGTGCCGTCCTTCCTTCAGCATCACTGGCTTCGACATTTGCACCATTTTCTAAAAAATACTCAGCCATCGTTAGCTGGTTTTCTAGAGCCAAGATATAAAGCGTTGGCCGGCCATCAGCATCTTTGTAATTCACATCAGCTCCGTGACTGAAGAGTAGCTCGACAATGTCTCTATGGCCTTCTAAAGCAGCAACACGGAGAGCGTTTCTCCCATCATAGCCCCTGTGATCAATGTTAGATTTGTTTTCCAGCAAGGTCTGCACACAATCATAGTGACCTTCCTGGGCAGCCAATATGAAGGCTATGCGCCCGTCATTATCAATTTCATTTGTTCGAGCACCTTGTTCTATAAGTGCTTCACATATCAACCTGTGTCCTTCAAAAGCTGCCATGTGCAAAGGTGTCCATCCTGCATCGTCCCTATGATTCTCATCCAGCCCTCTATCCAGCAGAGTCCGTACTACTTCAACATTGCCTTGTGCAGAGGCTATACTAAGAACCGTCCGTCCTTCACTATCAATGCTATCCACAGCTGCCCCCCAAAACAAAAGAGTATTTACAACTGATGCATGGCCCATGGAAGCTGCAGCAAGAAGAGGAGTGCGGCCATTGTTGTCCGTATGGTCTACATCTGCTCCGCCTTCCAGAAGCAAGTCAACAACATCTACATGTCCTTCGTAGGCTGCCACTAGCAGTGGGGTCATGCCATCTTTGTCACAATGGTCCACCTCGGCGCCCCGTTCAATTAAAAGGCTCACAACTGAAGCATGTCCTTTACTGGCAGGTACACAAAGAGCAGCAACAGAGAGGGCAGTCCTTCCATCCACATCCTCATGGTTTACTTCTGCTCCGTGGTCCAACAGATGCTCCACAATCTCTTTATGCCCCATGTATGCTGCTGCAATTAAAGCAGTTCTACCTTCATTATCCGCTTTGTTGACCTCAGCCCCATGTTGCAACAGATTCAGCACAATATCTTCATGGCCTCCCCAAGCTGCTGCTCTCAAGGCTGTCCGACTGTCAGCGTCTGCACAGTCTACTTTTACTCCAGCATAGAGGAGTGCAGAAACCACCTCGGTATGCCCGCCCCAAGCTGCCGATCGCAGGGCTGTCCACCCATCATGGTCCGTGTGATTTATGTTAGCACCGCACCCAATCAAACAGTTGACAACTTTGGTGTGGCCCTGCCGAGCAGCTAGAGTAAGTGCGGTCTGCCCATGCATGTCTTCAATCTCCAAATCTGCTCCTCTGGAAACTAGCAGATTGACTACATCAAGATTGCCACTATATGCAGCATTAGCCAAGAGTGTTCTACCATTCGAGTCACACTGGTTTACCGAAGCACCATTATCCAATAGGGTTCGAATAGAATCTTCTCTTTCCAAAGCCTGCCGTACAATGCAAGATGTCCGATCGTCCTCACTGTTGACATGAGCACCGGCTTTTACCAGCAACTGTAAAACTTCTTGTTCTTTGGGGATCAACGTTGACAAAGAGTCCTTGACAGGCGTACCATTCCAGATCATCCACAAAGCCAGTTCAGAGGTTTCCAGTTGCAAGTTGGAATCAATTAGGTGCAAAGCAAATTCTTGAGCCTCCAGAGGCGATAAATCCTTGGCTCGACAGGTGTAACTCATTGCAAGCATCCTGTGCCCTTCTGCTGCGTTGCACAAATATTTTTGTGTACAGTGCTTTACATCCAACAGCCATTCTGCAAAGCTGTAGTGAAAAAGGATCTTTGTGTTTCCGAGACCATCGACAAGAACTTTCGACAGAACATCTAGCTTGCGCTGGAAGTCCTCCATAGATAATGCCATGTTTTTGGTCCATACTGCATGGAACAATTCAACTGTAGTTAGCGGCCTGCAAGCAGCAAGGATTACATTCAGAATAGGTTGGACCTTTGCAAACTGTTTTCTCACAAAAAGTCTTTGACAAAGCCAAAGATAGAGGCCGTTGAGTGTCCCAGGGATATCGCGGATTTCTCGTAACATGATAAAGTTTTCCACTACTCCATCTAGGACACGCTCGAGATACAGAAAACATCCACTGCTTTTAATGTGAAGCTGATTCAACATTTCTGCAGTTTCTTTTGTGAGATGTTGTCTCAGTGCTTCTTCTTGATCTAAGCGATGAAGAATATACTGTTGGACATCTTTCACGATGTAAGCCTTTCGGAGATCATCAAGGCTTATCTTTCGGAAGCCTATAAGAAGAAAGGAAAGAGGGGAGGAAAGTAAGTTTTTCTGAAATTTAGTTGCAAAGAAGCTTATAATCGCTCATTGTATTTTTGCTGTTCTTAAGACGGTAGAAACGTTATTCTCCTAAAAAAGTGAACGGGAGATGCCACTGAAAAGGTCTACCTAGTCACAAGAATGTAGTGCATATGTGCCATCTACATGTTGCAGAACCACCGCTCCCATCAGCCTCTACAAGCATGGACAATGACCAGGAATGATGCGAATTGTAGTTCACCAATATCTGGACGGCCAAAGATTTCCCATATCTGATGTAGCAGAAGGACAGAATATGGTGTTTGATTTGAAGATATGAGCTCAGTGTTGCTGTTTGCCCTTGGAAATAGTGTCTGGTTTTGGCATTCCTCCCAGAACGTTTTTTTTTCAGACTTAGAAAACATTACACAGTCTGCACGTACTTTTCTGGAACCAGTTCCAGAATGAAAGTAACAGCAAAATTTCAAGTGGATGAATTTAAGACTGCTTTTATATAGCTATTGCAATCTCAGCTCTCTTTTTGCAATCAACTAACTTCAGCTGTTCTGGTTAGTAATTTGCATACTGTTCCTGAGAGTCACCTAATCGCTAACGATCTGTGGGTTTCAACTTACGATGGTCAATAAGGCCAAATTATATTGTGGGTGAAAGCTGTTAAATGATCAACAGTCCACCCCAGTTTAAACCGTGTATCCAGGGGGCTATAATAGTTAGGTTGCAATTGTTTTGAGTCATGTTTATTGTGTTTACAGCACTCTGGGATCAAAGTGCTCCACTTTTCAATAAACCTTCTTTTGGGGTATAATGGGGTAAAGGAATCCAGCTGGAATGCTCAAGTCCTATGGGCAAGAGTGCTGCAGTAATACTAAGGGACACGAGAGATTTTTACAGCTGTTGTGCTGACTGCTGGAATTTACAGTGTCCAAACACAGCAGAGGTCCAAGGCTGGGTGGATTCACAAACATGCAGCAAACAAGTTATGAAGGGACAATTTGATTCTGGATAGAAACAGGCAATCACTCCAAAATTTTGAGAGAGATTATCAGCCACATGTGTCCAATGTCAGCTGCTTTCTGATAAGCACTTGCTACCTGATAACCACAGTTTGTGCATTTGGTCAAAGGTTGGGGAATGTCTGGAGCACAGGCCAATATGGGCATGGCAGCCTCCCCAGTTTGGGGTAAGCCATGACCATCTACCCTACATGTGACCCTACAAGTAAGAGAGGGGCTTGCCCAAAGCCTAAATCTGTATCCTAATCTTCCCCTGACTGTGCAACACAAATAGACTCCAGCTTTTATTCTGTTAACTGTGATCATGCCAGAAGTGAAATGCAATTAAGCATTTGATTTTGAAAATGAAGATGCACAACACAGGCCACTTATGCAATTTTAATGGAACTAAAGTAGCACTTCAGCATAGCAGAACCATGCTATCACGACAACATTCCAAGAGAAGTCACCACATCCAGGAGTTGAAAGGGGGTCCTCTGAAGATTTATCATTTCTCCCAAGCCCTTTAGTGTTCAATACTCCAAGGACAAGATCATAAATCTAATACCTTACATTAATCATCTAAAGACAAGATAATTTGCTAACCTACTTTCTGTTGTTGGCTACTGGAAATCCTTAACAATGTGTGGACAAGCAAAGTGACAGAATGGGCACGTACGATTCATAAGACATTTTTCACGGCATGGAATAGCAAACAGCCGCTCCATCACTAAATACTTCTGGGGAAGCATGAGAACTCTCTAACTGATAAATATTCACCAACTGTTTGCCAAGGCCTAATCTGTATACAGCAGGGATGGAGATGCAGGTCTCAGACTCCTGGGATACTCCTGAGGCCACATCCCCTCCCTCTTCTAGGCTACACACCCCTAACAAGCCTTCTCCACACTCTCCTCCAGAGTTTCTGCCTGTCTGGAAAATGTCATTGAACTGTGAAAACACTTCTTGCTTGGCAGGAATGTAGTTTATTGTACAAAGTTAAGAGTCACAGCTTTTGTTTCTTTTTCTTTTCAGAAATACAGTCGTACCTTGGAAGTTGAGCAGAATCCATTCCAGAAGTCTGTTCGACTTCCAAAACATTCAAAAACCAAAGTGCGGCTTCCTACAACTGATCAGAAGCTGCAGAAGCCCTGTCGAATGTTCAGCTTCCAAAAATAGTTTGCAGACCAGATCAGTCACTTCTGGGTTTGCAAAGTTCGGGAGTCAAAACGTTTGGGAACTAAGCTGTTCAACTTTCAAGGTACAACTGTACATACACGTCACTTTGTTTATGACAGCTAACGGACAGCAAAACCAGAAGACAATAAGGTAACAAGCAGGATTTGCTGGATGTGTGTGTGTGTGTGTATATTCCAATCCCTGATTTGAACTTCACCACCCACGCTAAACTAGCTAGCCACCAGTTTTCCACTGTGATTCAGCAACAGTCAGCACTGGCATTATCCCTATATGGTTTGGCACTCATAGTATACCTGGAAGACAGAAAATGTGTCCACCTGGAAGCATCCTGAAAATGTATCTTAACATATTGAAATAAAATTGCTTGGTATACACATGCAAAGGCTCACAGTCTCTCTACTACGCCCAGCCACACCTAGCTGTTCTCATGTCACTCAACCCAGTTGATAGCCAGGCAGATTTGAACTCTGAATCAATCTTACATTTTGTTGAATGTATCTAGACGCTAAACAAGTCTAAACAAAATTATGTAAGATTCCTTGCCAACTGCTTCTGACTAACTCATAAAACGCACACAAAAACACACACACACACACACACATATTAGGCTTGCATGGACAATAAAGATAAAATATTATGGGAAAACTCATTATGTTGCAAAGCCTGTCTCACGAATTCTTGAACTCAGCAAGTCAGGAACAGCAGAGACAACTTACAATCTCACGACCCAACTTCTGCATTGTTTAGATTTTTCCTACAGCACATCATCTTTTCCCCAACAGGAGCTCAAAAATCCATTTCCTTGATTTATTAAATTTGCTTCCAGCTCTGTAAACAAATCCATACCAAATTTAGCTTCTGGCATCTCACAGGGGTCTTGGGTCGTTTTAAGAAGTATATGGGCAGTATGCATTCTATGAAGAACAAAATACCTCCTTTGGTCTTTAATCTAACAAAAATGCTTTACCAGTGAAAACAAAACAGGAGCCTTGTGGCACCTTGAAGACACACAAGTTTATAGCAGCATAAGCTTTGGAAGACATGATAAATCTGTGTGTCTTCAATGTGCCACAAAGCTGTTTTCCTTTTTACAACAGACTAACAAGGCTACTTTTGGGAACTACAATGCTGAATTTTATTATCTTGGATCTGCTTGCCTCTTAATCCTATGCATTATGGAAAATTCCAAAACAACCCTTGTTCATATTTCTCCTTCACTCAATGCATCTTAAATATGTAATCTAAATGATGAGGCAATATTCCAGTGCCTTAAGTATGAATAATTTACATTGCCAAGCTAAGCTGATCTAAGTAGAATTAGACATTTATAATAACATTTTATGCATACCTACTCATAAGGAACTAATCTCTCGGCAGTAAAATATTAATCAGAAAACCAAAGCCCCTCCTTACACAAGGCCGTTTGAGTGAGGACTGAAGTTAAAACAGGCTGTGCACAGAGGACATTCACAGAAGCAGAATACGAGAGAATTTGCCAGAACAGGGTTAACTGAGTTTTTGAAGTGTGTACAGAGGCTGACATTTATACCTGGCACAAAACAATTAGAATGCAATTCCTTTGCAATATAGTGAACTTCCCAGCCTGCTATAACTTCTAAAAACCCATTCAAATGCAATTTTTTGAATACAGTGGTACCTCTGGATACGAATGGGATCCGTTCCGGAGATCCGTTCGTATCCAGAAGCAAACGTAACTAGTGATGGCACATCTGCGCATGCGCATGGTGTCATTTTGAGTGTCTGCGCATGCGCAAGTGGCGAAACCCAGAAGTAACGCGCTCCGTTACTTCTGGGTTGCCACGGAGCGCAACTCGAACACGCTCAACCCGAAGCACATTCAACCAGAGGTATGACTGTATAGAAAATGGCTGCTTGGAATGCATTTATTTGTAAAGTTTCATTGGGGGCAACATTTCATTGGATGAGGCATCCATGCAGCTTGTTCACCAAAGGAGAAGGCTGACGTTCTAACTGTTTTGAGGGTGCTAAAGGGACTTATCATAGCCCAGTGTTATATTTTATATATACTGGTTGGAGAATTTGTCATTTAAGGTATTATGAGTGAGCTTCACTTCTCAAAGCAGCCAGGCTGCCACTTTCAAAAGCAAGCATCCCGTTTTAATTCCTTGTTACTAAAATCTTCATGTGTTCTTCATGTGAAACAGAGTTTATCCAACTGGAGATTGCATTTCAGCAAAACATTGTAAATCCAAGTATATCTATATATTTACAATACATGCCTACTCTGAAAAAAAGTTCCAGGGGCAGAACAATGCAAAGAGCATAAACCTCTACCTCTGCACATCAATACTTCAATTCTAGAGGTAGAATGCACAAGCCTATGGAAGTAAGTGTCGGGAACTCTCCTCCCTCCACCAACCTGAGTACACAAGGAACCTGGTGGACCAGACTAAAAGCCCATCAAACCAGCAACCTGTTCTCACAGTGGTCAGCCGGATTCCTGCAAGCAGGACATGAGTGCAACAGCACTCCCCCCACTTGTGATTCCCATAAGCTGGTATATAAAAGCATATCAACTGACACAGCAGGTAATACATAGCTGTTATGGCTAGTAGCCATTGATAGCCTGATCCCCTGAGGGTTCTCTATATGTACATTTAGTGGCATTCTAATCAAAACATCTGCAAAAAGAATGAAGGCTACTCCAGTACACAAATGCTCAGTGCAACTTAAAGCCACACAGTTGAAGATATCAGTGACCCACAACTAATATACCTCTAAAATAGATACTATGCAAG